CGCTCTGATTCGTTTCAATAGGTGGGAATGCATCGCTGCCGGGCGGGGTCAGCGCTTCGGCGTAGAAGATGCAAGGTATGAAATGGCACTGACATTTCGGGACGTCGCGCGCGACTCTTCGTTTCATACCCTTCAGGTTGGTGGCAACGATCAAACCGGACAGACCGCAAGTTCGAGCAGTTTCGAGCTCAGGTCGCCGCGTACTTCGGCCGTATAGATCGAGATCACCAAGTCCACAGATCTTGAGTGGAGGTGGCGTGTGCCCGTTGAAGCTTGCGGTCAGAACCAAAAGAAGTCGCAGTGCCATTCTCGAGAGTAAGATACAGATATCTGAGCCGCAGGTCTTTGAGCATGTAGGGGTACGATGGAAGAGGAGGCCGAGAGGCGTTGTACGTTGACAGTCGAGCGCTGAACACCAAGAAGGCGCTTATTGTCGATTGGTTGAGTTGACGTGACCAAGGCGGCTAAATGTGGTCTGCGGACATCCGCGCATTGAAGCAATACGACCTTGCACAACCTCACGGCTGTTCCAGTCGCTGAGCCTCTGTTGCGGGACGCTACGCGCCGAGAAGGGTCATCGTGGTTCGGGTACAGACAACTGCGTGAGTGTATTAGTAATATACACCATTGCGAGTCGATCGATTAAACGTACGTTGCGATATCGTGAACGGGCACACTGTGGCGTCTAGCCTACCGTGAAGTTAGCAACCCTCGCGCTAAGGGTCGCTCGTGCAGAGAAGTCCGTTTATATAGCACATCACATATAGTTACAGACGATATAGTAATAGTACACAGCGAGATAGAGAAAAGTACATCATGAACGAGGTCAGCAATAAGACTTGTAGAGCGAGCACAACGGAACGGGCACGCATGTGCGCCTAGTCCGAGAACCCTTCGTTCTCACCGGGCTCGTCGGAAAGGTGGCCGTCGTAGCTTTCCCAGAACGGGTCGGGGTCGTACTGGAACCGGACGTCCATCCCTGTATCCATCGGCGCGGGATCGCCCAGATGCGGATGAGGGGTGGGGGGGACAGTGCCCAACGCCACAGACAACGCCGCCGCCGCGTCAGCATCGTCTTCGGGCCGTTCGCGGGTTTTGGCGGCAGGGCGGCACTCCATGCATTTGTATTGGTCGAGGGAGTGCCGGGGGAGCGTGGTGAACTCGACGGGCCACTGCCGAGCGCCAAACGAGGTCAGTATGTAGCGCAGGAGCAGTTGCTCTGTCACAGTACCGAACTCGGCGTCAGACACCGAGCCGAAGGGTTCGCCGCCCTCGGGCATGAGCTCCCTCAAGTCCTGCACGGTATACCAGTCCAGATCACGCTCCATGTACTGGTCGACGAAATGGGCGTGGTCGGCGCCGATGAGGAGTTGGGCGATGTGTCCGAGATCCTCTGGCAACATGAAGGTATCGCCGGCGTCCTCCCCGCCGCCTGGCCACCCGGTCTTATCAACCACTTGATGGTGGATGACAGCCTGCATGATGAGTTTCGCGGTCGGGCGCTGCCGATCTTTCTCGTCTGAGAAGATGGGCGTGTGGCGCCAGCCGTCCGCTGACGCAGGGACCCCCTCCCTTGCAAGCGCCTGCGAATTCAAGTCGGCAAACCAGAACATACGGGACAGTAGCTCGAACCACAGCAAGATGTTGTGGACGAGTTCCGGGTCCTTTATGAGGCGCTCCTTCGTCGCTGGGTGGCCGCACGTCAGGTCGCCTCGTAGAAAGTTCCAGCGTTCCTGCCCCGGAGCGAGGCACGAGATCACTTCGTCAGTAAGCCTCTGCCCGAAGAACTTCGGGCTTCCATATTTGTCGTACTCTTCGTGGATGTATGGCTCGAGCGGGATCTTCTCGCCCTTCAGCTGCGCGCGCGTCTCCGCCTCCTTCGCCTCATCCCAGTCCTCCTTGGTCCTTAACTCCACCAGCTTCTCCTCGATGTACTTCTCCCGATGGTAATTGTTCCAGACGCCCTTCCAGTGCGTGATCGTGAGGATGTCGCGCCACTCGGTGGGGGTGAGCGGGTGAACGTCGTCGGCGTGGCGAGTCCAGTACAGCCGCTCAAACATGACCGGTAGGAGGGTGACGGCGTTGGAGACCAACTCGACGGTCTTCTCCCACTTGGTCGGGTTGGTGAACACCGACAACGGGGGCACCCACGTCTTAAGCACCAGTTGGCTTCGCTGGAACTCGAGCAAGGCGTCCAGTTGCTCGCGCGGGATCTTGGGCGCGATCTTGTAGAAGTTCGGGTGGCTGGTGTCGATGACGGGGTGGGGGAGGGGACGTGTGAGGAAGTCGAGGTGCTTCATGGCACCGTCGAGCGCCACCATGTACGTGCTGTCGATAGGGGGCGCCCAAGCCGGTCGTGGCTTGATCTTGTTGGCGAAGTACCGTTGCGCGGCTGGCGAACGCACGGCCATCTTCTGATACCGCTCGAGCGAGGAACCGAGGTCTCCGAAGATATTCTTGAGGTTCTCCAGCTTTCGCGCTTGACCCTCGCGAATCTCTTCTTGTCCTATGAATGCGGAGGCGGGTCAGCGCACGACTATCGATGCACGGTAAGTGAACGCACTTTTTAATGCCCCGTCCCACTTCTTCTTCTTCTTCGCCGCCTCCTGCCCCAGCTCGAAAGAGTCTTCGTCCGGTCGCGGGACATAGCCGCGCCCGATGGGCTCGATCATCGCCCAGGGACAATGAGGAGGCGGGGGGTACCAGCGCAGAGGCAGCGACCTCTGCTTGAAGTCGTCTAGAGCGCATAAGGTTAGCGTAGGTCTAGGTATAAGAGAATTTCATAACTTACTCAGGATCGGGCACGCAGAGACGTCGCAGCGAGGAGAATCGGGAGGGCCAAGCTTCCCAGCGGGGATGAAGATCGTGTTCATCGCGGCATACACCCAGACCGGAATGCGATGGGCCTTGAAGAACCGGATGTACGTCTTGATATCTTCCCCGGCCAGCACGACTCCGCGGCGTTGTTCGCTCGACGTGAGCTTGGGGAGCTCGGCGAGACCAGGCGCAATAGACGGGGGAAGGATCGAGCAGGCGAAGTCGAAGTAGGCGAGCATCACGTTGAGGGCGCGCTGAAACGCCGAGAAACAGACGTCGAACTCCTGGAATACGGAGATGCGGCCGTACCGGAGGCGTTCGCAGGCGTGCACAACATCGAGGTATTCGCGGACGGGCTCGCGCACATTCGCCAGGATGACGCGGATGACGCTGTGGGGG